CAATATAGTCTTTCCACCTCATGTCAGCTGAGAACATTAGCCTGAGAAGGTGCAATGAGTCACTTTCCTGAGGTTAGCATCAGCCATGCTGATGGAAGGCAGAGTGAGGTCTCTCAGATGATTAATGGAGAGAAGTTTAATTTTGGAGACATTAAACTTAACAAGCCGTCATTTGCACCAATTGATGACAGACTTGAGGTTGTTTTGGACATCAGCTACCATTTTGACCTTGTTGGACTGATTAACCTTACTATTGAGGCAGGAGTATATGGTTGTGTCATCAGTATAGATGCCAAGTTGAGAGTTGATGTCATCGAGAAGGTCATTAATGAAAATTAAAAACAGAGTAGAACCAAGAGTGGAACCCTTGAGGACACCTGCATTAGCACAGAAGGATCTAGACGAGTGGCCATTCAGGATAACTTTCATTTCACAATTTGATAGGAATAACTGGATCTGTTCAAAAATGTGTCCAGAAACACCATAACGTTTCAGCTTGTGAACAAGACCTCTATGTCAAACCCTGTCAAAGGCTTTCAAGATGTCTAATGCTTTCTCTGTAATTGTTGTCAGTACATCAGCAGTTGACCTGGAGAAATGAAAGCCATGTTACTTGTCTGGGAAAAGGCCCTGTGATGAGAGATTATGAACCAATTCAGCATTGATTAGGGCCTCCAGGTGTTTCCCAAAAAGTGGTAGAAGGCCAATAGGCTGATAGTTGGAAGGGTTGGATGGCTCACCAGAGTTCTTAAAAACTGGAACAACAGATGATGACTTCCAGCAGGCAGGAAAGCAGCAAGGTGTATGGGTTCAAAAGTTAGGTGGGGGAGGGGTCTAAGAAAATCACATCCCAACGTGTTAAAATTAACATGCTATGTTTTGCTCCAGTTAACGATGGACTTGAGTTTGTTTTGGACATCAGCTGCAATTTTAACCTTGTCGGACTAATCAGCCTTAATATCAAGGCAGGAGTAAATGGTTGTGTTAACAGCGTAGATATCAAATTGAGAGCTGATGTAATTGGGAAGGTCATTAATGAAAATTAAAAACAGAGTAGAACCAAGTATAGAACTTTGGGGTACATCCGCATTAGTATAAAAGGATTTAAACGAGTGGCCATTCAGGATAGTTCTTATTTCACAATTTGATAGGAAAGACTGGATTAGTTCAAAAATGTGTCCAGAGGAAACCTGAATGCCAGATGATATCAAAGGCTTTCAAGATGTCCAATGCTACAGCCCAGGCTTCACCGTTTTTATCTAGAGCATGATAGACTCTTTCCGAAATTATTGTTAGTACATCAGCAGTTGACCTGGAGGAATGAAAGCCATATTGTTTTTTTTTGAGAAAAGGCCCTGAGAGATGCTGAACCAATTCAGCATTGATTAGGGCCTCTAGGAGTTTCCCAAAAAACGGTAGAAGGCTGATAGTTGGAAGGGTTGGATGGCTCACCAGAGTTCTTAAAAACTGGAACAACAGATAATAGCTTCCAGCAGACAAGAAAACAGGATGCAGTGAGACATTTATTATACAGTTTAGAGAGAACAAAAACCAGATCAGAAGCATACTTCTTAACAACTATTACAGGGAGACCATTGGGTTCACATGCTTAGTGGAGATGTAGGTTACAGATGATAGCAAAACCATAGAAGAGGTTCTATGCATATCACTCAGCAGAAACTCAATTCTAAGTGGGAAGTTAGGCAAGGATACTCTAGATAAGCCAAAAGCAGTGTTTAAGGAGAATTTACAGGCAAAGCATTTGACTTTATCAGCAGAGGATATTCCCATTTTTATTGTTATCACAACGTTTCATCCATTGTGCTCTCAGGACTTCTTCAGGTGTTTGTCAATCCAAATAAATTTCAGGGAATTTCAACCTGAACTCTTTATTTAATTTACAGGGGTAAACTGTTCTTGTTCTGCAGTCCATGTGGCTTATGGCCATATCACATTGAAACATCAGTGATCATAAAAGAACCAAAGTTAAGCAATGTCGACACTGGTCAGTACCTGGATGGATGACAGCTTGGGAACACCAGATACTGTAAACTTGGATGTGCGGGCGGTGTACTGGATAACAGCTGTGAATTGTAAATCGGAAAGCTGAGTTCCAATTCCAATAGGGCTTGTTATATTCAATTATGTGCAAATAACCTTGGGAAAGTTATGAATCCATCTATTCCCCCCAAGCTATGGGTTAATTAGTAAGACTTGTATCAGGAAATCATTATTATCTATAAAACAAAATTCTTACAATTTTGCAATATTTTCTTGATTTAAATAGCCTGCAAAAATTAATAGTCCATAAAAAAACAAATTAATCAATAGGCCTCATGTAATCAACATAATGATAGCTACTCATCCCAAAAATTATCAAATTGGCATAGACTTGATGTTATACATGAATAAAGGCAAGAACAGATAATTCTGAGAACTTTTTTTTTTTTTTAATGCCTCATTTGAAACCTCTATGAATCAATCATCTGAGAGACCTCTTTCTACCTTCCATCAGCATGGCTCATGCTGACCTCCAAGAAAGTGACTTGTTGCACCTTCTCGGGTTAACGTTCTCAGCTGACATGAAGTGGAAAGACAATATTGAATCCCTTGCTAGATCAGCTGCTAAGAAAGTCAGTTCACTGTGTCATGTGAGACAATTTTTCCTTCCAGAATCTATCTTGCATATCTATAAGTCTACAATTTGTCCATGCTTAGAATATTGCTGTCCAGTGACCCAGCTATTTTACCTTGAGCTCCTTGATAAGATCCAAAGAAGAATCAGCAATATTATTGGTCCTGATCTGGTGGCTCAGGTTCAGTCACTTGCTCACCACCCTAAAGTTGCCTTTCTGTTTCTTTTCTATAAATACTTTCATGGTAATTGTTCGGATGAGCTCTTTGCTATGGTACCTAGCCTTCATGAATTTAAGCACAGTTCTAGACTGGCATTGAGATCTTATCAATTTACAGTTGAGTTGGTTAGATCTCGTCATAAGTTCTCTTCTAACAGTTTCTTTTCTCACACATCTCTCTTGTGGAATTCCCTTCCAGCTCCATGCTTTCCAGCCAACATTAACCTGCAAAGATTTAAATGCAATGTCAATTGCTATCTACGGTCCACCTGATTACACTCTTCTCTTTCTGCTCATCATTAATGTTTCTGTTCCTAATTCTTCCACATCCTGTAACCACTTGTGTTTTAGTGGCTTTATTGCTTTACGTGGGGTGATATTGATTAAAAAAAATTAATCATCTTAAAGAACCTTTTTTACTTTCCATCAGCATGGCTGATGCTAACCTCCAGGAAAGAAACTCACTATGACATCTTGGTCTCACATTTATTTCACTGACATGAAGTCAAGGCACTGAAGAAAACTCATCAGAACAATAAACATTGAAAATGTTTACAGTAGTGGTGCAGGGAAGCTATGTTACAACAGTTGGAAAGTGACTGAAGCTGAGATGCCAGGTCAGGACCAATAAAATTGGCGGTTATTTTTTTCAGATTTTGTCAAGAATCTCTGTAGACAAATTGAAGAAGCACCAGACAAAATGTGGCAGCCAGATTTGATTCAGTGATGAATGGTAAACTTATAAATGTAAAAGATGGATTCTGACAAGAAAAATTGTCTTTCCTAACAACAAACCTAGCAACTGATTCAATATAATCTTTTCACTTCATGCCAGGTCAGGATTTATATATTTGTAGTCATTAGAAGATTAAAAAATTTTTAGTCATTTATTTTCAGTAAATGTTAATTTCCTATTTGCTCCCAAATTGGCCATCACAGCTGTAGAGGTCAAGTGACTTACCTGCTAACATGGCTGCCTTCTTGGAAAAGCAAGCCAGCTAATTTTACCTCATTTATAGGAGAGTACCTAATGCACCAGGTGGGTTGGTCCATTTTGCTAGAATGGACCTGCACAACACATTTGCATGAGTGGTCTCTATTCACCCATATATCTCTCCATTAAATGACTCAGGGCAGTCTGAACTTGGTGGCTACACCAGTCTACTTTGTATGTCAGACCACTTGTAAGCTAACCATTATTCCAAAACAGCCAGACAACAATTCTGTAACAATGCAGTGGTGAAAGCATTAATGTATACACTCGCTGTGCTGTCAATACTTTAAGTATAAAGAAAAGAAGATCGAGAATCAAATGTATAACAAAATTATATTCTTGTATTCTGAACACTCTCCCATTTTTTTCTGTAACATGTTTTCTACTAATCTCCCTTTGACTTTTTTTTATGATAACTTCCCTTGGTTGGCACTCTCCTGATGTAAAATGTAGCCAATTTGTTAGTTCATTAAAGCTTTCTAAAGAAAATCTTCAACATCCACAACACTCTTGCATGGGGTGCGTGTAACAAACTTTACAAGATTTGGTTCTCGAACCTTCCATCCTCCTTAAAAATCCAAACCTTTCAAACATTGACTAAACCAGTCCTACTGTATAGATCAGAAACTTGAACATTATCTGCTTGTCTTGAAAGACAATTGAATGCAACATATACAAATCTACTTAGAAAAATTCAGAACATCAGTTGGAGATCCCATGCAACAGAACACAATTTACAGAGAATTGAAACCAATCTCTCTTAAGCTCAAACAAAAATGATTACAGTTTGCCATCCACTGCCCCCTAGCGGACAGAAAAATCATCTCATCCTTACTCCTATGGCATCCTTCTGAAAATGTCTTCTCACAAAAATTGACTTTCCCAGAAACCATAGTTCAGGACTCAGGGTTGGGCATTGGGGATCTGAGGACAGCAAAACAGGACCAAACAGTGTAGAAAGTGATTTTCATCCAACCATAGGGAGGTCGAAGATGATGATGATGATGAAAGCCTAAAGAACTCACATCTTCCTGACATCCATTCTTTTTAAAACAATCATGGTTCTCTGCCACTTCCTTGGCTCCTGATAAGATCTGTGCACAGACATGACTGAAGAAAAGGTTACATAAAGAATAAGTTTTTCTACATACCTGCACTGCACCAGAATGACCTAAGCATTCTCCCAGAAGATCAGGTTCCATTGCAGGAATAGCATTTGGAGTTTTGGATTGCCTAAGATGTTTAAAAAAAGAAAGAAGTGTACATAAAAAACAAGTTTTCAGATGAAAAATAAATTTCCATGGCACAATGGTTAGCAAGCTAGTCTCACACCCCATTTCTATCATAATGAGTTCAATCCTCACTGTAGCCACAACTGATGTGACTTTATGTAATACTAACATTAAAAATTAGTTATAGTATCACAAATAATAATAAAATACAGTAGAATCCCGAATATCTGGAATCCCGAATATCCGGACATGATTTTGATGTGTATATTTGAACTATTTGGGTGATATGTAACTGATTTGAAATTTCTGTTTTTCATGAAATTTACTTTGGATAATTGCTCATACTTATTTCACCCTAATGGCTTGTATTGGTGCAAAAGATGATGAGAATGAGAAGAAAAGAACAACTTTGGAGTTATCACAAAAAGTGGAAATTTTAAACAGACTAGATGCTGGTGAAAGTTCATTGTAACTAATGGCTGAGTTCAACATAGGAAAGTCAACATTATATGATATAAAATCTTCCAAAGAAACTATTCTTCAGTATTCACACTGTCACAATGAACAAGGAAATAAAAAACATGACTATGATGAAACCTGTACTGAAATTGAAAAAGCTATTGAAAAGGTTGTTAGTTTTATGGAAAGAAAGCCAGCATTCAACTATGACAATTGCAATAATGCATGCAGAGTTAAAAAGTGTCTTTCATTAAAAAATTTCAAGAACAAAAGCAAAACAAAATGTGAAAAAAATTGAGAATGACATTAGAAGAGAAAGAATCATGCAACAGTGATTAAAAAAAATCCTTGTTACATTATTTGTTTCGCATACTTCGCATACTTAATTTAATGAATTTTCATTAACTTTACATAATTTATTACTTCTTCCTTAAAATCAATTCCGTTAAATTTCACTCACCATTAGCTTATTTTATTTACTATAAAATATTGAAAATAAATGTTAAACCTGATTTCAGATCTTTTATTTTAATCTAAATATAACCCCTTCTATCTGGACTTTGTAACCAGTTCCTCATATAAACCCTGTGAATATGGCAATAAAGATGAGGACAACAGTTTGAACAATGTAAGTAATATAAATAATTACAATACCTCATCTCAGAAATATAGATGGATCCTGAAGAAAGCCAGGGCATACAACGGCCGAAACAAGAACTACATAACGAGCCAGCTGTGAGGTTCAAGGACAAGGACATGGCAGTGAGAAATATGAAACAGATTACTACAGATATATTACAAATATATTACTACATGTTCTGATGAGATTTCTGTTTGGTATCTTGACTTCATGAATTTAAGCACAGTACTAGATTGGTAGACAGGTCTCATAATTTTATGGTTGAAATTGCTCGATGCAATTATGAGTTCTATTCTAATTGTTTCTTCTGCATTTCATGCTTGTGAAACTTTCTTCTAGCTCCATGCTTTCCTGTCACACACGATCTTCAAAAAAATTAAATGCAATATCAATCATCATCATCTGTTCTTCTTGAATCTTGTTCTTTAATTATCCTCCTTATTTCTTTCACTCTCAGTAACTGCTTGCATCTTCCAGTTTTACGATTATGATATTGGGACTTTATTTTTATCTGTATAATGTGTTTATTCATTCTTCATTATTGCTATTCAGAGGAAAACATTTCAGGAGTAACTTGGGGGTGTGGAGGGACACCAAAATTGTATTTGCACCAAAAAGAACCATTCTTACCATTTTACCATTCTGCCTCTGTTCCACAAGGAATCAGCAAACAAGAAGGAAAAAAACTGAACTTGCTTAAACGCCTCAGAAAGGCGGTTGTTAAACTTGATGTTAAGTCATTTAAATAATGAATATTATTTTTAATGTTAAAATATCTTTGCTTATTATACACTTACCTTATACATTTGTAAATTATAACTTTTAGAAGATGTTGATTCCAACTAACACTTTTATAATATGTGGCTATTGAAATCAAAACTTCACATTTTAAAGAATTTCCAAAACCATGTAATAAATTAAAAAATATGTCTAACTCAATCAGTTCCAGTTTCACAATTATGATATTGGGACTTTATTTTTACTTGGATAAAGTGGTTATTGATTCTTTGTTATTGCTATTCAGAGGAAAAACATTTCATTTTATCTAAACCATCAGCTATATATAAGATTATTTTCAGATAATCCAATAACCATTTTGGTAACCTTTAATAATTTTAAGAATTTGTTCACATAAATTGATAGGATGCCACCACTGGCTGTAATACTTCATTTACCCTACTATTTACTCTTGTAAGGTAATTGAACTTGATCATCAAGCCAGAAAAATACTTCTGAATGAAACTATAATAATATCATTTGATGTGACTATGGTCCTTTGTCCAGGAGGCAAGGGTAGCAGTCGCCCCCCAAGCACATATATGAAGGCACGTAAATTTTAGTCTGGCGAGAAAAGATCACCCATAGCTTAATTTAAATATGAATACCAGTTTTGTAAAATGATAAATATTATTGAATGTAAAACAAAGGAAATCTGTAAGATTTTTCTTTTTTGTCTCTTTCCTAAACCATAGACTCTAACACAAAAGAACGGCTTTCCAAGCAAGTTCCAGAACTCCGAACGATAGATTCACTTTAGCTGTTACATAGAAAAATAACATTAATGGATGACATGAATTTCAAAACGATTTGCAAATTATGTAAGCCTACTTATTTCATATGTCTAACTCAATCATTTCCATTTTCATGATTATGATATTGGGACTTTATTTTTATCTGGATAAATATTTATTCATTTTTTGTAAATTGCGATTAAGAAAAAATAACTCACAAAACATAGAGTAAAAATTTTCAGGGTAACAATTCACTAGAATTGTATTTGCCTCCATTTAAACAATATGAATTACATCTATCAGCACATGTATCAGTATATCTATAAACACCAGTGTTTTCTCTGTCAAGAGAAACACATGAAATAATGAAAAACCAGACAAGATTTAACACAGTCATAAGTTTTTTTTAATTTTTTTATCTCATGATCTTTTTTTCCCAATGCAGTGGTTTGTTTTCTGCATGTGTCCACCTTTGAATAAAGACATATAAGAGTAATCATCAGAAATTAAGAAGATTGATTCAGGCAAGTAAACACTGAATCATTCAATATATTCCAATTTTCAGCACAAAAAAGACAAATAAATAAAAATAAAAGGAAATACTAACGTCACCCTGAAGAATCTTTCCACATGACTCATTGGTGTTTTAGTAACTGGGGACCTTAATTCAGACATTGGACTTTTCAATTCAGGTTTTGTGCCCCAAAGACGTAATGAACCATCTTCAGAACATGTTGCTAAATAATGCCTGGAAAAAAAAAAAAATGCTGGTGGTCAGAATATCTGTTGTTTGCACAAATATTTTAGCAGAAAATTTTCAATACATTTTTGATATTTTGTCAGCTAATTAGTTTTTCAATGTCTTTTCAACTTTTATGACATCTTTTTTACATTCCTTAGTCCAGTCAACCTTGACCTTTACATCTGGGACCCACCATGACATGTACACAAGAGTGAACCAACTCCATTCCCTTCAAAAGACATCCAGCAGCAATCCTTCTGATTGGGAGATTGGAGGTTTTGAGGAGCATGGAACCATCTCTTGATTGCTGTTGTTCTCAGGTGCACACTGACCTGGGGTGGTAGCACCTGTTAGGGTCCCAGCTATGGGCAAATAGTGAACCCCCAAACAAAAATCAGTACATTTTTTTTTAAAGAAAATGATCAACAATACATTTTTATGGCAAAATGACAATCAATGCAACACTAAAATAAAATATAAAAATACTTTTTTATAGTAAAATTACCAACAATACATTTTATCATCTACAAACAATACATCTGAAAAAAAATACTTTTGCTCAAAGTATAACATTATGTACAAAATATATTCAATTGAACCCATAAAATTGCATTCAAAATATTTAGATTTCAGCATTAAATAACCCATTGGGTAATATTTAAGCTATTTCTTGATTAGGCCTTTATCACAATAGATATGGAAATATAGATGCAATAGGCAACAATAAACTATTGAAAAACTCAAAATTGATTGCTGCATTTAAGTATTGCATTAATATTTCAGCTTACCTTTTAAAAGTTCAACAATAATTCTGCTGCCACTTAATTTAAAGATAATCTGATGTATGTAGGTCCTTACTTCCTGTACAAACAATTAGTTTTATTTCATGGGTGACTTTCGCTGGATTTTGCAATTAATTTCAATTATTCCCAAATTTATTTCCAAGTTACAAAAATTGTTATCATAGAAAAAAAATTATCACAAAATATCATTAGACAAAAAAAAAAAAAAAAAAAGAATTGATGAAAACAGTTACAGTAATGAAAACTTGGGAATCCAAAATTCCAAGCTTGTAGGTCTAGATCTGGTCAGAATGTTTTTAATTTGCTCACAGAGTCAGCCTGATTCCAAAATGTAATATATGTTGGAGCTACAGCCTCTAGAAATGAAGTTGAAAACACCAATAATTTTATTTTGAAACACTGTAATTTAAGAAAAGTAATTCTCTCATTTGAACATGAGCTATTGAAAGTTAGAGTGTTGTGATCCTTTAATTGTTTTTATCAGTAGAAGCCAAGATGGCAGAATCCAAAAACAATTATAGTAATGAAAACTTGGGAATCCAAAATTTCAGGATTGCGGGTCCAGATTTGGCCACAATGTTTTTAATTTACTCACAGAGTTGGACTGATCTCTAAAACAGGATGATATGTTGTGCTACAGCCTCTAGGAGTAAAGTTGAAAAAGTGTGACACAGTGATACACTGACATTAGCATTTATTTTTATAGATTTTTTATTAACTGTTGGAATATTTTGAATTTTCAACATTCAGCTGGTTTACAGATATTCCAGTTTTACATTCTCTGTCAGATATTTCACACGAGTCATTTATCATGAAATTTAATATGAAAACTGTTTTCATTTTATTGTGTTTTAATCATAATGTCTTAAGTTGACATCACCTCTGACCTCTAAACTGTATGAAATCAGAATGAAAGAAGTCATTTACAATAAGACAATGTTTTTTTTACAGTGATGTTCACCCTGTACAAGGCTCGGGAGCCACACAAAGTAGTGTATTACAGAATAAGAGACAGAGTTTAGGCAGATATGTGGGGAAGATAAGGGTTAATCTTAAAACTAAGTCAAGATTGCAGTTATTGGGGAAGCATCCTCTGCGGAATTGGTTCCACAAAGAAGTGGTGAATGGGAAGAAACTGCTTGAGTGGACTTTACATCTCACAAATGGAATGTAAATGGAATGAGGGTGGTTCGCTACAATGTGCATAGCATGGCGGGCCTTAGCCATGAAGTTTAGAACAGGTGGAACTAAGTAATTTAGTTTGTCTCAAAACTTTCCATGGAAATAGTGATGGAACAGCAAGAAGCTTGCAATGTTTCATTTGTGAGAGAAGCATTGCAGGGTAGAAAATAATTTGTCACCCACACATTTGGACTCTATCAACAATACGAAGTAGATTGGGCATACTATTTACATTATTTGGACTGTTGTCCTCATATTTGTCGCCACATTTATCACAACATTTTGGCCATTGTACACTCCGGCCGTTGTACACTCCGGCCTTCTTCAGGTGGTTGGAATGTCGAACTGAACCCTTTATTTCACTCACCAGGGTAGACTGTTATAGTTGCACATGCCATATCTAATGGATGTCAGTTATCTCCCCTCTCCAAGTTTTCCACCACCTTAACCAGGTATTGAACTCACACTCTTCAGGTCCTTCAATGGATCTATAACGCCTTTATCCACTGTGCCATGTGTCCTTATAGACAGATAGATTGGGCATCTCCTGGCAGGAGTGATCTGGCTCTTGTAAAGGTAGAGGATAGCATGAGGAGTCAGGTACTTACTGGAGTGGTAATGGGAACTGATCATTTTTGCAGCTTCTTTAGCGATGGATTATATGTATGAGCTCCACTTGAGGTCTGGGTCGAGTTTATGGCCAAATAGGCGCTTAAGGCAAGAGGTCTCCCTAAGGAAACATCCATTCATTGCAATTGGTGATAGTTCAGGGTTTGATTGGTGAAGATGAATTTTTTTTTTTTAAGTGAATTCACCCGAGTAAAGGCAGTAAAGCCACTAAGACACAAGCCTGTTACTGGGTGTGAAAGAATTAGAAAACAGAAACATTACTAAAGAGTGAGAACAAAGGAAGAGTAATCATGAGGACAGCAGATAGCAATTGACATTATATTTAAATTTTTGAAGATTAAAGTTGACTGGAAAGCATGGAGTTCCTGGAAGAAAATGAGGAAAAAGTTAGAACTTATAGCTACATCTAACTCAACTGTAAATTGATAAGATCTTGATGCCAGTCTGGTACTGTACTTAAATTCATAAAGTCTAGGTACCATGGTGAAGAGCTCATCCGAAAAATTACCCTGAAAGTATTTATAAAGAAGGCACAGGGAGGCAACTTTATGGTGGTGGGAAAGTGACTGAAGCCGAGATGCTAGATCAGGACCAATAATATTGCTGATTCTTCTTTGGATTTTATCTAGGATCTCTAGATATATAGCAAGAGCACCAGACTATATGTGGCAGCAATATTTGAAGCATGGATAAATGGCACTGGACCATATACGGCAGCAATATTCTAAGCATGGTTTGATGAAAATTAGTTGAAAGATCAACAAAAAATAAGAAAGAAACCCGTAACAATTTATGTGGGTTTTCACTATATGGGTGGACTCAATTATCAAGTTAAATGACTGTTAAACAATCAACTTATTGTTGGCTACAATTGAATGAAGTTTGATTTGGATTGCTTGAAAATTGAGGGAGTTTTTAATTTAAAATTTGTGTTGAAATCAATTTTTCATGGCTTTTCACTGAACTCAATGGCATAGAAATGAGGTGTCATTGAGCTTGTCATGATGTAAGTAACCTACATACCAAGTTTGAACAAAATCAGAGGAAAAAAGTTGAATTTATCGATTTTTGATTGGCTTTACAATCATTGATTTTTTAAAAACTATTGATTTTTTTATGCTAAGAACCGATCTCTTACATGGTACAATATATATAAGTTTGGTCAAAATTGGTTGGGTGGATCTCAAGTGAAAACGTAACACACAGAAAGACAGACACCCTCTGTTTTATATATATATATATATATATAGATAAAATCAAGATGAAATTGAAAAGACATTAGTTAATATTTATAATATTTTGATGAAAATTAGTCTTTCTAATATTTCATTGTTGCTCCCTTGTTCAGTCCTTGGCATCCCCAGCATCCTTCTGCAGAACCACATTTTTGTTTCCTCAAGTTTCTTTGTCATGTCTGAAGTGATTTTCCAAGATTCACTGCCACATAGGAAGGCTAATAACAGTTGAGTGTTCTTTTCTTTGTTTCTAATGAAATTTTCCTGTTTCTTAATTATCATCATCATCATTATCATCATTCACCCTCCCTGTGGTTGGTCAGAACTCCATTGACAATCCCCTTCCACACTGTTTGGTGCTGTATTGCTGCCCCCAGATCACCAATCTCCAACCCTGAGTCCCGAGCTATGGTGTCTGGGAATATCAATTTTAGTGAGAAGATACTTCCAGAAGGATGCCATAGGAGTAAAGATGAAATGATTTCCCTGTCCGCTCAGTGGCAATGGCCAGCAAACTGTAATTGCTTTTGTTTGAGCTTAAGAGAGATTGGTTTCAATTCTCTGTAAATTGTGCTAAGCTGTTGTACAGTGATTTCACAGTGGAGGCTTGTATTCGTACTAAGTCGGTCCTAAAATAGGTTCAATGTACAAAATGTTAGGAACTTCATATAATAAGTATAACACAGAGAAATCTAGTTGTAGTCGCTGATACTTTAGTATCTGACTAACGGTCGTCCAGCATCGACTGATTGACCAACCCACTCAGCGATTCACTCGTTACTATTAATACTCCTACTTATTATAGGTGGGAGAGTCTATTAACTATAGAATAGGTGTGTTCCACTATAACATAAGCATTGCATGGGATCTCAAACTGATTTTCTTGTCCTCTGCTTTTGAAAAATACCATCCCTAATGATATTTGAATTTTTTCCTCTGTTAAAATACTTCCTGATATTTAAATTTTTGGCATTTTTCTCCACTTTGTAATTCACATGTTGAGCTGATAACCATACACTTCTTCTTATAAGTGATAGAGAGTCCTTTCTTCTTGCTCTTCTTTGCCACTGTAGTGGGATTGGCAAATAGGATTTTATCTATATGCATAAGTTGGTTATAGGATAAATAAAGTGTAGAATAAAGAGTCAAACAACAGAAAGTTGACTAATGATCAAATGTTAAACAACTCTATAGAACAGCTACGTTCTGTAGGAGTTCCTTTAGTTTCTTTTCTGCATCTGATATCAGCACTATGTCATCTGTTTATCTCATGTTGTTAAGATTGTGACCACCAATAATGAATCCTGATATGAATTCTAATTTTCTCAGAATCACCATGCTTTAAATTACTGTACAGGATTTCCCTAAAGTCTGGACACGTAGATAAAAAAATGCATATTTTTAAGAAATGAAATTTTCAACATTTTATTGAATTGGAATATTGACAAATAACATCTTCAATATGATTTCCATTATTTGTGATGCAAAGGTTGATGTACTTTACATGATTAATGCAAATTCGATGAAATAACTGCACATTGCTGTCAAGTTTTGCATTCAATCGAGATTTTCATTGCACCGTCTCCTTTCAATCCCCAAGCTTTATGCATTATCATCTGATTTTCATTGAGTACACCTTCTCCATTAGCATATCCCCAGAAAAAGAAGTCAATTATTTCTTCTTTTGACAAAACCATCTTTAATCTGTGGAGGTAGAAAAACATAGTTAATGAGATTTCCTGTGTCTAGACTTTATGAACACCCCCTGTATTATCGACAGAAATAAAATACTAGTTTCTGCATTTCATTTCACAAATAAATAACGTCATATTGTTTACTTACCCATTGCAAACCAATCCCAAGTGCAGTATTTTTGAGTAATGAGCTACAGACTTCTTGACGAGGAACTTACTTGTCTGGATATCATAGATGCAAAAGCCAGAACCAGTAGTAAGAAATATATATCGCTGGAAGAAAAATGAAACAGTTTCAAAGGGAAAAAGTTACTGGAAATAAAGGAATAGAAGTTTGGATCCAGCAACAAATAATAAAATATAATTATTTGTTGTTATATATTTGCAGGTGTATGAAATATTATTAGATTAATAAAAATAAATGTTAAAACAAGACAAAAATAGGGGGAAATATTACCATAAAATGGTAATATTGAAATACAACATGATTAAGAAAAAAGACAGCTAAACTGGTTTATTGGTTCTCTTTCTTCAAAGCTAAGATCAAGGAGGAAAATGTGATAAACTATTAAAAATGAAACTCCACCCCAAACAAAATGTTATTTAAAAGAAAATATTACAGGCTAATTACTGTTAAGCTCACCAACCACTCCTTCTGCTTAGAGAGAGATGGCTGGTAGTACTTACTATAAACAGATTCCAATACTTTCAAATGAAACTCAATATTCAATATTTCCATTTCATAAATAGAGAAAAAAAATTTTTTTGTGAACTTGTTTCCCCACTTTAAACCAGATGTACCCCCTTGTGCAAATTAATTGAAACAAAACATTTCTATTATTTACTTTTTTTCATATTTTTCCAATGAAACATGACCCAGTGCACATGTTAGTACTTCATATGTCCATTCCACAAAGTTGTTCCTTGCAGATTGACCACAGATTCTCAGTTGGATTTAAATCAGGAAAGTTTAGTAGTACTTTGATTTACTCATTGGTAAGGCTTGCCAGTGTATTTGTGCAGCATTACAAGTTTTGTATGCTTCCTTGGAGTAATGTCCATTGCAGACAATGACCGTAGGACAACTAATTGAAAGTCAAGACAATAGTGTATGGGCGTGATGAAAATCTGATGCAATCACAGATGCCGCAATATTTGTCAAGGCCAAACAAATTTCACCACACACCCTGAAAATTGATTCATATTACTGCACACCACTGCAAATTACCTAATCTGAGGAAAAAATAGAAATTGATTACACCCTGTCAATCCAATGGGTCTAAAACTGACCGTATAGTGAAAGAAAGGAAACTAAAGCATTTTTTTTCAATTAATTTGCACAAGGGTGTACATTGAAATATATGTGTAATGTGTTAACAGATATTAGTGTAAAGTTAATTACCATAAGATAACACCTTTTTCTGGAGTAGGTAAGCTAGTTGAGCAGATTACTACTACTACCGTAGTGAGTTTGGCACTTATTGGATGTCTACTTTATTTTGCTGTGTGCCAGATTGAGCTACAATTAAGAATTAAGATTAAGTAACAACTAGTAGTAAACTTTTTTTTTCCTTGGTTCCTTTCTCATTTGTCTGTTAGAGTGATAAAAGTTAATAAAAAAGCCATTTATTAAGAATGTTTAACTTTTAAGTTTTCTCCCCAAAATTTCTTATATTCAAACATTTTGGAAAAGACTTCCAGTTATGTCCCTTAGTTGCACCATATATAGGCCTAATGTATAGAACTCCATGTATCTGCTTTACACAAGTGTTGTCTTATTTAATTAAATATTTAACAAACTACCCACTGACCTGCTCTTCACAAAGCATGTGCTGAATGCTGAAAGGGTAGAGCTTCTTGTCCATTTCATAGTTATGTTCAGAACACACACAATGCTTAAGGTTGAGTGAAATCGCAGACCAGATGTTAAAGGTGCCATCAAGAGAGCCGCTTGCAAACATTTTATCTGCACAAAAAAGAAAAACAAGAGGTGCAAAGATATCTTCAGATTTGGTAAGATAGAAGTGTAAATATTAATCTGAACAATTTTATGAGCCGCAATCCATTTTTTTTAATCATTTCATCCCAAGCAAGACAATAAAGCCTCTAAGATGCAAAGGGTTACTGAGTGTTAAAGAACATGAAAAAATATACTATTAAGGAAAGACAACAATAAAAGAGCAAGAATTAAGAAGACAAGAGGTAATGATTGACATTGCATTTAAATTGTTGAAGATCAAACTTGATAGGAAAGCAAGAATCCAGAAGAGAGTTCTGAAAGTGAAAAGTGAGATAGAAGAAACTGTTAGCATAGAACTTGTAGCTACATCTTGACATTTCAACTGTAAAATGATGAGACCTTACTGCCAATCTAGCACTACACTTAAATTCATAAAATTTAGGGACCATAGAGGGTCATCAGAAAAATTACCCAGAAAGTATCTATAGAAAAGGCACAGGGAAGCTATGTTATGATGGTGTAAAAGTGGCTGAATCTGAGATGCCAGGTCAGGGCCAATAACATTGCAGATTCTTCTCTGGATTTTATCAAGTATTTCTAAATATATAGCAGGAGCACCAGACAAGATGTGGTAGCAATATTCAAACCAAGGACACAAAATATACAAAAGCACACAAAATAAAAATGCACAAATACATGGATGGACTAAAAATATTCAAGTCTGAAGTGAGATCAGCACTGGTCAAGTTGATCAGAAAGAAAGCAACATGACCAGATGGGATTGTAAGAGAAATGCTCTCAGCCACAAATGATTTCAGCATTGACAAAACTCACTCGGTCAGTCAAGTGCTATACATGATACATGCTTAGGCAATCATGTCTCTTTCAATTCATGACTAACGAAGTAGAAGATTTTTCCTATGTGGCACTTAACTGATTGACTGATAGTTACAAGGCTATAAATTTTTGAAACTGCACACAGAATTTATAAACTACCTTTTTTTTGTGAAATACATCGGTTTGATGCTTTCACACACATGGTCAGTGATACACTATTTACATTATTTGGACTATTGTCCTCATCTTTGTCGCTATATTTATTACAATGTTTCGGCCAATGTACACTCTTCTTCAGTATCTGTATATTTCTGAGATGAGGTATTATGTACACTATTTACATTATTTGGACTATTGTCCTAATTTTTGTCGCCATATTTATTACACTGTACCCTAGTTCTCCCGTACCTTTTTTCATAAATACTTTCATCATGGCTTCAGTCTCCTTCCCACGACTGTACCCTAGTTCTCCTGTACCTTTTCTCATAAATGCTTTCATCACGGCTTCAGTCTCCTTCCCACCACTGTACCATAGTTCTCCCGTACCTTTCTTATAAATACTTTCCTGGTAATTTTTCTGATCAACTTTCCTCTATGGTACCTAGACTTAATAAATTTAAGTACTGTACAAGATTGGAGGCAAGTTCTCATCATTTTAAAGTTGAAATTGCCTTGATGTAACCGTAAATTCTATGCTAACAGTTTCTTCTATCACACTTATCGCTTGTTGAACTCTCTTCCAGCTTCTTACGTCCCAGTCAACTTTGGTCTTCAAAAATTTAAATGCACTGCTAATCATTATCTTCTGTCTTCTTAATTACTGTTATCTTATAGTTGTCTATCCTTAATAATGTTTTCTCTCACATTCAGTAGCCCCTTGCATCTTAGTGGCATTATTGCCTTGCTTGGGATGAAATGATTAAAAAAAAAAAATTAAGATAATGTCAGGATTATTTAAATCAATTTCAGTCAGAAATACAAAATTAAATTCAGACATGACTTAACAAGCTATAGAACATTAAAGTATTTTATGTTTCAGGCCAAAAGATGTTTTTAGAATTCGTTCTAGTTTATGAAAATTTCTTTTGATTTACAAATTGGATGAATTTCTCTGAGCCTTATCAAATTACTTCCTGCTCATTTCAAAGAGAACCAACAGCAGGTGGTTGTATCTCCATGAATATGCTTTTCATTAAACGAAAATGCACAGCCCACGAGAATATGTTCTGAATTGTCGACTTTCCCACACTTTTTACATGAATTCCAGAATTTGCAGGTGTGGAAAAGATATATTTTCAGCATACAATTTGAAACTTTTACTATCTGCATAAGATGAATATATATATATATATATATATATATATATATTACATGAATCATAGATACAAAAAACAGATATTGAAGATATTTGTATGAATGATTCATGTAATGTAAGTTGAACTGCACCACATACTTATATATATATATATATATATATATATATATATATATACCAAGTGTAACAGCAAAATTGTCCAATTGTTAGATTAAGCTTTCAACCATTGTATCTTAGAAATGATTAAAGATATCTTACTGGAATCGTCAGAGGTTTTTATAACACTACGGTACACTACTTTGAACAATAAGAATGTATTTAGTTCTAAGTTGAAATGATAATCCCTCTTGCTGTTGTGACCTCCTGATAGTTTTCCTCTCTACTGTTCCCTCTTTTTTAAACTTATTCATCGTTCTCTTGATGGTTCTTGAATGGACTTTGAAGATGGAAGACAGAGTATGAATATTGGTACCATTACTGGAGGCCAGAATAATCTTTTTCCTCTCACCATTGCTCATTTGGGAATATATATAGTGGAGCTGACACAAAATGATTTCAACCTGTTCTCTTTCTAGCTAAATAATTCAAAGGATTTTTCAGTGATTCTTATGGCAAATGGTGTCAGGATGGCTTATCTGAAAACCTGGGAAAAAGAAACTCAATTAGGTTAGTGGTTTTTTAGATATTAAGCATTTTGTGGGATGGACAATTATACCATGCTGTTACATGATTTGGACAATTTTGCTGTTACACTCAGTATATATATATATATATATATATATATACATGAATTATTCACACAAAAAACTAATGCAAAGGTTAATGATTTAAATGGCGAGACATCCATCATCGCAAACAATTCAAATAATATACAAAAACCTCCGTATCCGTTTATGAATGAAAATGATCCTTGTTTATATAAATTTCACCGTATTAGTTCTAATAATAA